GAGAGGAAGCACCATCACTTTAACACGTCCATTTCTACGCTTGAATCGGACATTAAACTTTCCTTTCCCAAAATTGTGTTGAATTAAAGACACATTTTCCAGATCATCAGTCTGTCCATATGTAGAACGACCCAACGGTTCTAAGCTGGCCGTCATAGACGACAAATATTCAAGAGCAGCTATGACCCTTGCTTCATGAAGATCCGCATTTAACAACCAAAAGATACTGGAAACATTTTCTAGAACATAAAGCATCAGTTATATTTGAACTATCCATCATTTACATTTGAATACCAAAACATCAAATTCACAACTCTCCGGACAATAATATCACTTGAAGATAATATCTAGAAAACAAAATATAAAATAAAAGAATGCAAACATTTAATAAGATGAAAATAGAACATCCAAAAAATACATATTGCTTTTATTTCCCCTCCTTTTCAACAAGTTTAGACTATTATAGAGAAAGAAAAACAATGCCAATGGCAATAATTGGCAAACATAAGAGATCTAAAAGAAGTAAAAGAATTTACCATTGCTTCGGAGGTTGACCAAAAGGCCTGCAACTGTTGACACAGATGCATGTCTCAACATTTCATTTATCTGGATAGACCATTAAGAGAGACAGTAAAACAGAAAGAAAAATTAGAGAAGGAAATTCAACAAGCAGGTTGGAGAAACAGATAATAAACAACAAAGATCATTCCTACATCACAGAGTAACATAATATTGTCACGGTAAATTTTCCTTCTTTAACAAAAGCTTCCCACCAGATAACTACTAAAACTTCAGAAGAAAAAGATTCAAACTGAAATTCTCCAGTCTCATCGAGCAAAGTTATACAAGGGTGACATAAATCTTTCATCTACATGCATAATAGCTGCGATCCCAAATGACTGAAAACAGCATTATACAACCATTCCTTGATGGCATACGTGACTGCAATATCCCAAGTTGCTCCTATGTCAACAAAGAAAACCGCAAGAAGCAACCAGAATCTAGCTATTTCAGCATGTGGTTCTTCTATACGTAATCACCCTTAATTTATATTCATACTTATGGATGGTAGAATTACCGAATCTATGGCAACAGAGAAACGACCTTTTCCCTGTGTAACAAGCCCTGCAACAAAATAACGATTCACAGCTCACCAGGGGGCGATAGAGAGGTTTTCATTCATATTTAATTTTCATCCCAACTTGAAATTTGCTGATAGAAACTAAAGGTGAAAGAAGAAAATTACCTCTTCCTAATTCAATAATCAAAGAGAACACCTTATCCATATTTCTCACATCCTTACAAAAATTGACTGGTAGTTCGGGTTCACGTAAGACATCGGTGGTATTTCCTCCATCCACAAATTGATCCTTCCAACCAAGTGGATCAGTATAGCAATCCAAGATATGAATCCTGGTGATACCAGTTGCACTCATCATTCCCACATATATCAATAAACCAAAGTAAAGGATATCATTGATTCTGCAAGCACAAAAAGTAACCAATTTCAAGCTTCGACAAGGCAAGAAAGTTCCATTCTTTCCGAGCAGAAATTAAGGCAAATGCAACTACCATCTCATCTCTTTAACAAGCAGAAAACTTCATACTTTACCGATTCCTTTAAACAGCGACGGCACTGAAAATCTAAAAAATTTCCATCTTGTTGTTTACAACTACTTACTTGATTATACGATGCCCCTCATTCAAATAAACAATTTTTTCTCTACTTGTCTTTTCTTTTTCTTCTCAGTAGGCATACAACGTGTAAACCTTCCCACATCAAGAAACAAAACATTGCACATGAGACAAAGAAAATAGTCACCATTTAGTAGAGGAAGTAGCATCAACTCCTTTCGTCTTTAGCAAGTCAACATAGAACGAGGGACTCCGAGAAAAAGCAACAAGCACGATACCTCTGCAAAGAAAGTTACAAATAATTGAAAAAGGTGAAATACACATAACACACAGTTTCGGAAATGGGATTTTTAATTACTAATCAAATCAATATAAAACCAAATCCGTTTCTGATTCTGAGAAGGAATTGAACTACCGCGACTGGGCTTTCCCTTCCAAATGTAGGAGAGAGTTGGATAAGTACGTGACCGAAGACATCGAGGCCGAAGGGGGAAGCAATGGTGTCCTTGATGGTGAGAGCTGGAGCGTGCTCTCCTTCTAAGCCTCCGTCCCTGAGCACTCTGGATAACGATTCCGCCATTGATGACTGGTGTTGCGGGAGCTTGAATTCTGTAACGACTGTAACTGGAACAAAAAAACCCTTCCTTTCGAGAAGAATTCAGGGGTTTTACACAAACCCCTCTATTTTCTGTTTATTTCCCACAAAACCCCGTAAATTTTCCATATTCACAATTTCGCATTGCTTCCGCTTCACGGTTCTTGCATTTTCGCCAACTTCCGTCAACTTGATTTTACATATGATTGACACGAGTTTCTTCGAAAAAATCAACGCGGCTGATTTAAAACAGCAAATGTAGAATGCTTGACCAGAAGAGCTTAGCGTGGGGTGAAGCGCAGAGGATTATTACCCAATTAAAATAGATTCGTGTAGATCAGAACCCAGAAAAGAATTCCCTTGGAGTTGGGACCAAATCCCCCACATGCTGACATGCACTCCAAATCTGGAATTTACGCCGTCACATGACGTGAAAAACTCGTCACCCGAGCTGAAACGTCTGTTACAGTCCCTCGTCATAAACGTGTCGAAAAGGCACCGTCCATTGACGGCGTTGTTCCTTCCTTCCATCATCGTCATCATCGTCATCGTCACGTGAATCTCCATTTTTTTGTCTTTCTTTTTTTTTTCACGATAAATCAAGCTGTCATTTTCTTCCTCTATTCCGTTAATTAATTAAAATTAAATTAAAATTAGGTTACTAATTTTCTTTTTAATTTTTTCCTTTTTCGCTACAATTATTTTTTAATTTTTTAAATATTAATTACGTCCACAATAATTAAATTTAATTACTTTCTTTTTTGTTGTTAGAAGATACAAGCAATTAATTAATCTCTCTTGTTTTATTTTTTTAATAAATAAACTTTTTTAAACAAATAAAAAAATATAATAGTATGCCATTAAATATTTTTTACTATAAATATAAAAAAATAAAAGTTGGAAAATTAATTTGACCAATTAATTAGGTTGGAAAATTAAACCCACCAAATAATTTTGACTAATTACGTCTAAATTAACATCCTTTTACACTAAATCTAGAACCTGGTTTATAATTAATTAATTAATTAATTATAAAAATAAATATAATTTACTTATTTTCTTATTCTAATTATGAAAATGTAAACTAAATTTAATCTAAATAATTAAATAGATTAAATAAATGACTATTTTTACCAGATAACTTACGGTAATTTTTTTTTTTAATTTTTTTATGTAATGTATTGCTGTAACGGTTTGACTTTTTTTGGTTTCCTAAAATGCGAGAAGGTGTATTAATACATACTGAGTCGGCGTCCGAGTCATGGCTTCATCGGTTCACACGAAATCTGCCCGACCCAGTCTCGTTGGTCAAAAAGTAAAAATTCTCTTCTGAGTCTGGTAGTTACGAAGCGGATATAAAAGCTTACAATCTCTTTCTCTTCTATTCCAATTCCATCTTCATCTTCGGTCTATCTTTAATTTCGTCGTTTCTCTTCTTGTCTTCTTCTTCTTCTCGCTGCTTCAACTTTATTTCCCTCTCTTTTCTGACCCATTCTTTATATAAACTCTTGAAGAAACCAAAGAGCCAACGACAACTTCAACGCCGGAAAACCAACTTACCCATCTCATTCTTTTCAATCCGCCATTAACATTTACAGCCACAATGGAGAGGCCCAACCCGCTTCAGCGCCTGAGATGTTCCGTTCAGAATTACGATTGGGGCCGACCCGGTGCGGATTCTCTGGTAGCGACGCTTCACGCGTCCAATTCCGGTTCACAGATCGAGTTGCAGAAGCCGTACGCTGAGTTGTGGATGGGGACTCACGAGTCGGGTCCTAGTTACGTGGTACCCCCCGGGAATGAAAACGGGGCAGCATTCGGCTCTGAGAGCGTTAGCTTGAAATCCTGGTTATCCCAAAATCCTAACGTGCTTGGCCGCAGGGTTTTGGATAAGTGGGGTTGTCATCTCCCCTTCTTATTCAAGGTACAAATATGTATATATATATATATACTTTATTTTTATTTTTCTCGAATTTTTGGTTTTATCCGAGCTTCCATTGTTTGCTATGGCGTTTCGGGTGATTCTGGTATTTATTCGAGCGGACCAAGAATTGTTCTGTATGTGAAGATACAGAAACATATATGTATACTACACATATATTAATTAGTTTCCATTTGATTTTTCGTCTGGTTAATCATGCTTTATTATAATTCGTTTTTTCTTTCTGGGCACTTAATAGTTCTGCGTTTCATTCAGTTGGGTGTGTCCTCTGCTACAGCTCAACTCTGTTTTAAATGATTTAATTAATATTTTCTTCTACAACATACAGTTGGTGGGTTTTAAGTTTTTTAATCCCCTATTCATTTAATAATAATATTTTGAATTCCATTGGATTCCTCCCTTATTTTTCTTTTGATTTTCTAAATTCGTTTATGGGTTGCATCTGATTTCCGGGATGGTGGGTATGGGGATAGGTTCTGTCGGTGGCAAAAGCACTGTCAATACAGGCTCATCCAGATAAGAAGTTAGCAGAGACACTGCACAAATTGCGGCCAAGTGTTTACAAGGATGACAATCACAAGCCTGAAATGGCTTTAGCTATAACCAAGTTTGAGGCCCTGTGTGGGTTTATTTCTATTGAGGTAGTTCATTTATCTTATCTGTCTATTGGATTTTGTTTGAATCTTTGTGTTTGTTTTGTTGAATTCACACCATCCCTGTGTTCTTATTGCTCTCTTTTCGTTAGCATTAAGTAATGGAAAAGATTTGAGGGAATTGCCCTAATTAATTTTCTCTAAAAAGAATCTTTTCTAAATTTTCTGGTGGGGGGGTATAATTTATAAACTTGGATGAAATTGCATTAGGAATTTGATGAGTGGTAGTGCTGTCCAAGGTGGTTGTCACAAAAATTTACATTCTGATGTTTTGGCTTACTTTAGGTGAATGTTAGTGCTTTGATTAGAATATTGATAGCTGCCATTGGGGATTTTTCCTTTTTCCTTTCGATATGCCTAAACTAATCATAGTTGTTAAAGGATCGAATTGAATAATGGTACCGGCTGATTTGGAATGAATGCATGCTGAAATTTTGACAACTTTTAGGCAATTCTGGATCTTACTGCCTGCCAGCATGGGCTTGTTTCAATTTTTAGGTTGAATTTCATGGTTTACTGACTTTTCATTACGGTCGTGAAGACAATCTCATGTTATGAGTCAGTGTATACCCGTGAATATTCTCTTATAAACGCCAATTTACATTCTTAGCTGGAGGTTGAGGTTTGTGTTCCATGTAGTGGGAGAAGAAAAATAAACAAAATAAGACATAAATGTGTCCTCAAATCACTCCAAAATGATTGATGTTTCCTCGGTCTGAATTAAATAGAATATATGTCGACGTTGAGGATCATGTTTGTAGTTATCTGGGTTTCTGGATCTTGGATTTTAGTTTGGCCTGAGGATTTAGATTCATTTTTTAATTGAATCTGGCATAATATTGCAAATCTTACATCTAATATCTACACGCATCTAAGTAGAATCCTAATTTCAATTTGATCTTGGAGAGCACATGCTTTTGTATTCTTCTGTTCATCAGCATGGGCTGCCTTGCAGAGAATGATTCTGAATTTTGTCAGTGATAACTGGAGCAACTTACTTAATGTAGTTACAATATCCTGAAGCATCCAATTCCCTGTTAATCTCAGATAGGAAGGGGATGTATTTGAATCTATAAGCTTTTGTTGGAGACCCCCAAAAGTGGAAGGATTATTTGTATTTCATGCAAGATTAAACATTGATTATTAATGTGACATTAATTTATTTCTTATATGTGATAATTTTATCTAATGTCATTTACTTGGAATGATTTTTGACTTTGCCCTAGGAACTAAAGAGCGTGCTTCATAATGTTCCTGAGGTTGTAGAACTAGTTGGTGAGGCAGATGCAGCCGAAGTCTTACGTATCAATGAGCAAGACGGGGAGAAGAAAATAAAATCTGTTCTTCAGTCGGTTTTTACCCAACTGATGTCTGCCAGTGCTGAGATGACAACTAAAGTAGTAAACAAAATGAAAAATCGTCTGCAAATCGAGAGTCAGGTTAGTGGAGCTTTCAATATCGTAGCTTTTGGCAACATGGACAGTCTTTAGCTTCAGCAGTGTGCTTTCTTTTTTAATTATTTTTTCAAAGGACTACTGGTGTGAATAGATTCCCAATACTTATTTATGCAGTTAGATCGTAGCATTGATCGGCTTGGCAGCCCCTTGTTAATCCTTACAAAATTTTAGCTATAGGCAACTGCGTTCGAAATGTTGTTTCCTCAGCTCCTAGCTTGCTTATATAATAGTCTCTTCTTAGTTGCTCAGTATATGTTCCTTTTTTGTTATCAGATGTTAAATGGTATTTATAGTGTTATCTTCTCTTCCCAAATTTCCTTTTTGTTCTTGATGAGGTCCCGAATCCTGATTTTCACCTCTTTTTCGTTTTATCAGGTGAGGCAACTAACTGAAAAGGAGCAGCTAGTATTGCGATTAGAAGAGCAATATGCAGCTGATATTGGTGTCATATCGGCCTTTTTCCTGAATTATGTGAAGCTTAATCCGAATGAAGCTTTGTATCTTGGGGCTAATGAACCTCACGCATATCTATCGGGTGAATGCGTTGAGTGCATGGCAACTTCAGATAACGTTGTACGGGCTGGCCTCACTCCCAAGCACCGGGATGTCCAGACTCTTTGTTCCATGCTCACTTACAAACAGGTAAAAAACTTATTAAAGAGAATCTACTCTTTTGCTTTCCCTTGATTGCTGTTTCGGAACAGGTTCTTCCCACAGAGCATTTATTCTTTTTCGTTAAGTTTCAACTGAATTTTTCCTAAAAATGGGATCTTGTAGTTAGCTCAAAATTTAGAAAACATAATTTCCACATGCATTTGTGTTTCAGGGCTTTCCTGAAATCCTGAAAGGATTCCCTGTGACTCCCTACATAACAAGGTACCTTCCACCATTTGATGAGTTTGAGGTTGATCTTTGCTCTCTTCCTCGGGGAGCAACGACAGTGTTTCCTGCAATTCCAGGTCCCTCCATTTTTCTGGTAACAGGTGGGGAAGGAATAATGTTTACAGGATCATCAAAAAGCTATGAAGTCGGAGAGGGAGATGTTCTGTTTCCAGCAACTGATACTGAGATTACACATACCAAGCCACATCTGCCCTGAGGCTGTCACAGAGCAGGTGT